CATGAGAAACATTCAAAAGTACAGAAAATAAGCAAGGCACTATGAAATAAGCAAGGCAGGAGGCAGGCAATTACTGCTACACTAAGAGAAAGAAGAGGTGGATGAGTTCAAAACAAAACAAAACAAAACACCTGAAATTCCCAACCATCAAAGATGCCTTAGGGCAGAGCAGGCATCAGCTTACCACATACACCATTAACAAACCTATCAAAGAGCACCAAGGTGCTTCTCTGGAGCTCAGAGTTCCACAGATCACAGCTTAGGACCCACTGTTACAGAACATAGAGGGGAGATAATCACTGGCATAAAAATAGCATGTTGTTTGAAAAATATATATAAAAAAGAGTTCCCCTTTTCTACTCATTCCCCATCCCCCACTTGCCCCCCAAAAAACCAAACCAACCAAATGAAACCAAACCCCAAGCATACTGCTTGGCTGTTCTCTTCTGATACCTCAAGTACACAAAAAGGAAGGCAAAATCTTTTGAAAGTGAAAACACAGACAAACCTGAAAGAGTACATGCAAATGTCTGATGTTGGGGAAAATCACAGCCTCCTTCTTCCTCTTCCCATCCCCCCTCTGGTGTAAGATAAGGACACCAATTTCCAAGTAGGAGGGTATGAGGAATAATAGGGAAAGTGAATATGAAACACTTTGGAATATATTAAGTGCTACATGCATAAATATTTAATAAAGTGGGAACAACCACACTTAATGGAATACATCCTCCCCAGTGCCTGACACTCCCTAGTAATAATGCCACTCCCTAAGCCCCAAATTTAACTCCTGCCAGCCATAATCCTACACCTTGATGTAAATGCCTCAAACACAACTCATATGCACTAATTTCCCACATTACCTCAATAAATACTGCTACACAAGCAACCTCATTTTACAGTAAAGGCTTGAACATAGAAGTCGATTTGCCCAAGGTCACACAAGGCAACTCAGGTTCCTAACTCTCCCATCAGTTTTAAATTAATTCAGCAAAAATCACATGCCTACCAGACACCAGATACAAAGACAAAAAACTCAACACCGTCCCTGTCTTCAAGGAGCTAACATTTTACTGACTTACTAACTTACTTTCCTAACTTAACTAACATTCTATCCTAGTGGCTATCCTCCCTCTCTCTTTCTCTCTGTGTGTCTCTCTTGGTCTCTGCCTCTGTCTCTCCCTCTCTCTGAATCACCTGACTAAAGCCTTTTGTCAACCAATGTTCATTGCTGTTCCAATACCAAAATGAGCAGACATAAGGAATTTGCTTTAAAATTTCCTTTGGTTTTTATTTAAAAATTTAAAATTCCTTTATTTCAAAAAAATTTATTTTTAAAAAGCAACTTCTAGAAGCAGTTTGGAATTATGCTAAAAAAAAAAAGTTAATATGCCTAATATGTTCATGTTCTTTGATTCAGAGACTCTGCTGTTAAGAGGCCAAAGCCAGAAAGAAAGGTCCCTTATGCACTCTTCCTAACCTCTGTTACTGTTGAGAGGCCGTCATCTTCCCAAACCCCCAGGTTTCAAACCTAGGTGTCATTTTCAGCTTCTTGTTCTTTCTCGCCACCACCATGTCCAATCAGCTCTCAAGTTCTGTTCATTCTACCTTGGTAACATCATACCCTACCCCCTTCTCTTTTCTGGCACTACAATGACCCTGGTGCAGTCCGTCTTCACCTCACACCTAAACTGCTTCAATAGCCTTCTAGTAGGTCCCCCTGCCTCAAGTCTCTCCCCATTTCAATCTCTATGCCTCTGTCAAATTGATCTTGAAATGAAGGCTCTTCTCTTCCCTCCTCATTCAATAAACTGCCTCCAGGATCAAATATAAAATCCTTTTGTTTTGCTTTTTAAAAATCTTTTAGAACCCGGCCCTTCCTGCCTTACCAGTTTTCTCACACTTTACTCCCCCCACCACCAATTCGATAATCCAGTGACATCGAACTTCTCGCCGTTCCTCAACTCCGACCATTTTCCCTGGCTGTCCCCCCATGCCTGGGATGCTCTTCTTCCTCATCTCCCCCTCCTGGCTTCCTACAAGTCCCAGCTAAAGTCCTCCCTTCTGTAAGAAGCTTTTCCTAGTCCTCCTCGATCCAGTACCTTCCCTCTGAGATCACCTCCACTTTATCCCGTGTCTCTTCTGTGTGGTCACAGCTGTTTGCATATTGTCTCCCCCATTCATCTGTGAACTCCGTAAGAGAAGGGACTGTTTTTTACTTTTAGTTTAGTTTAATTTTGCTTTTGCCTTTCTTTGAATCACTAGCACTTAGCGCAGTGTATTTAGTAAGTATTTGCTGGCAGAATGACTTGACATACACTAAAAACATACACAGCAGCATTTCTTGTAGTAGCCAAGAACTGAAAACAAAGGAAGATGCCTATCACTTGGGAAATGACTAAACAAACTGTTGGTGTTAAGTCGTTTTTGTCGTATCTGACCCTTTGTGACGCCCTTTGGGGTTTTCTTGGCAAAGATACTGGAGTGGTTTGACATTTCCTTGTCCAGTTCATTTTAGGAAGGAGGAAACTGAGGCAAACAGGAGTAAGTGACTTGTCCAGGGTCACACAGCTAGTAAGTAATGGAGGCTGGATTTGAATTCAAGAAGATGAGTCTTAGGGCAGCTAGGTGGCACAGTGAATAGAACTCTGGCCTTGAGTTAGGAGGACCTGAGTTTAAATCCAGCCTCAGACACTTATTAGCTGTGTGACCCTGGGCAAGTCACTTAACTCTGATCGCCTCAGTATAAAAAAAAAAAGAAGATGAGTCTTCCTGACTCCAGGCCCAGCACTCTATGAATTATGGAGCCACCTAGTTGCCCCTAAACAAAATGTGGTACACAACAAAGTAAGAGAATTACCATGCTGTAAGAAGGGATCAATGCGAAGGATTCAGAGAAAGTCTGGTAACAAACTGATGCAGAGTGATGTTAGCAGAACCAGGAAAAATAATACGCACAATGATTATAACCATGTAATTGGAAAAAAGGACAACAATCTTCTTTCCCCCAAAACAGAATACTGTACATTTACGGTAACCAGGCATGACCCCAAAGATGACATAAGAAAGTTCACCTCCTTTCTTTCTTTGTAGAAATACGGGTTTGCGTGGAACACCGCACAGAGACTGTCATCCTTAGTTCATATGTTAATTAATGTTGTACTGCCCCTCCTCCCTGTTCTTTCTTTTGTTACAAGGAATGGCTCCCTGGATAGGGAATAGGGAAGAGAGAGATTTGGAAATGAAGGTGATATAAAAATAAAAGATTTGAAATAATATTTAAAAAAATCATTTCCAGAATCTCTCTTACGTTTACAAAGGAAAAATTATGGGACATGGGAGTCAGAAGATCTGGATGCAGCTAGGTGGCTCTGTTTGGAATCAGGAAGACTTGAGCTCAAATCCCACTTAATAGCTGTGTGGCCATAGGTGAGGTCTCTCTGCCTCAGTTTCTTCAACTGCAAAATGGGAATAATAATAGCACTCACCTCTCAGAGTTATTGTGATTATCAAATGAGAGAACACCTGTAAGGCACTTTAGCACAGTTCCTAGCACATAGTGGGTGCTATATAAATGTGAGCTACCATTATTAGCTGCCACTAACTAGCTATGTGACTGTAAGCAACGTGCTTCTGTCTGTGCCTCTGTTTTTTCATTTCTAAAATGAAGAGGTTGGGCCAGATTTCCTCCAAGAACTCTCATGGCATCTAACACTCTATGATTCTATTAAGATGTTTCTGGTCTAGTTAGTAAGATACTCAACTCCATAATCAGGCAAGATTTTCATCACAAAGCAGTGAGTCTCTGTGTCTGTCTGTCTCTCTAAACAACATATCCCCCCTTTCCCCTACCCCACCTAAATCAAGCAGCCTGTTATCTATGAGCACCTGCTACATGCTTAGCAGCTGGTGCTTGGAATGGGGTGGACCAACATATGAGAGTCCCTATCTCCAAGGCCCAGCACTCTATCCACTGTGCCACCTAGAATGAGAATGCTTTTTTACATTTTTTAAATAAACTTTTATTTTAAAAATGTAAAAACCCTTCTTAGCTCCTGGGCCATGAAGTGGGCTTGATTTGGCCTTGGGGCCATGGTCTGCCAACCCCAGCTCTCAGTTCTAGGTGAGTCATTAGTTTTGTCTTGGCATGGCGAATTTTTACACTGGGAGTACCCTCCCCCCCAAATTAAGTCATAATCTATATTAGAAAGAAAAAAAAGGCACAAAATGAACTCCAGCTCACATTCATGTTATTTGGACTATGATTTGTGTTAGCTGCCTCAGAACTTAGTAAGTAACACAAATGCTCTCAGAGGGTAAGTAACGAGCCAATGCATGGGATACCCTCATTTTCTACATTTTCCCATTAACTGAAGCCGACGAATTCAACTATATTACAATTCCTGAACAATCATCAACATCCATGAAATACAAGTCATATTGTCCAAGTACAAATGAATGTTTCAATGGGCCAGAGAGGAATGTGCTGAGAATTTTAGAACTGTGGAATCTTAGAATCAGATCTGGGAGGGACCTTAGAGGACGTACAGGCCAGCATTGTCAAATATACAGTGCTGTGTTGGGAAATGTATTAAAATGTAATTGGGAAATATTCAACAAGATAAATAAAAATACAACAGAGCACAGAGAATGTTCACATGTGGTTTTCCAAGCCAGTATGTAGGCCCCAAAGCGATGCTTAGGTATGATTTGGTGGGCCCCTGTTTCTATTCAATTTAGACACCTCTGCTCCTCTCTATCATTTTACAAATGAGGAAACAGGCCCAGGTTCCAGTGACTTACCCAAGGTCACACCAATAGTAAGGTGCAGAGGTGAAATTTACACTCAAGTCCACAATTTGTACTCTTTCCACAAATTTCTATTTCTATGGGCCAGAAAGGGCTCTGTTGGGAGTTTTATGGAAGAAGAGGTCATTGGGGTCCACTGTGCCTATGTTTCCAGACTGTGAGACACCATAATAAAGGAAAATGGCTCTTGTTACCTGGCTGCAGCACTCTTATCTCCAACAGGTTGGACGTCCTCTCTGCCAGGCGGGTCCAGGTGCTATTGTGATTCTTCCTCCAAAGCTCAGCCACGCACTGGTATTTGCCGGCCTCAGTGTCGCTGGCCCGACTGATGCTCAGACGTACGTTGTTGCTGGACTCCGCTTTCTCGATGGCAGTCCGAGTTCGAAAGCTAGAGGACCTCTCCCCCCACTGAACGCCACCATCCCGGGTGAAGGTCACCAGGTTGTGGAACTCGATGGTGCCCACAGGCTGGAACCTCCAGGTCACCGACACTGGGACCCAAGATGGGTAATGGGGTTTGATGATGCACTGTAAGTCAAATGATTCACTGTAGGTCACACCAGGGGTGCGAGAGATGGCCGTGACAGCAAAGCCAGTCTCTAGAGAGAGAGAGAGAGAGAGAGAGAGAGAAAAGAACAAGGATTTTAGACTCTATGGAAACAGTTTCACTTAGGCAGGCAGTCTGTAGGCTTACAGAACTAGAAAAGGACCTCAGTGTCCATCCAGTTCAACACTCTCCTTTTATAGATGAGGAATTAAAGCCCAGGGAATTTATGATTTGCCCAAGGTCAAGAATCATTGACCAGAAGTAAGATTTGAATCCAGCTCAGTGCTCTTTTTCCTGTTTCATAGGAGACATGCTCCCCCCCCCCCCCCCAGTCTCCTGGTTAGAACTGGAGAAGAATAATTAAGGTTCTTGGCCTCTCTCATTTCCTATATAACATTATTACTTCTTAGCGCAAATGATACTTACGGTGCCAAGCTAGGTTGTCAAGAGCACTACTGAAATGACCAGAACAATTGGGATTAGATGAAGTCTGTGGTCCTGTCCAGCTTGGAGATTCTGTGAGTCCTAAGCTCCTAGAGATCAGGGTCTATAGACAGCCCTCTTAGTGTGGCGTCTGTTCTAGAAGGCCCACAAGTAGGTGCTTAGCTGAAGCATTTCAATGGTGAGCAGCAGTTCTGTGTTGGCCAGGCCATTGACATTCTCATCACAAAGGCTTGTGAGACCCAGATAACAGGCTAGCACCAAACTTAGAGATTCCAAACAAACTTTAGAATGGATCCTGGGAAACAACAGCTCTCCAGGGGAGAGAATAAGGGTCCTTTCTTCTTGTAAGTCTCTCTCTTAATTGCAGGAAGGAAAAGAGAAAGGACAGACACAGAAGGAAGCCTCTCTCCCTCTGACTAGCTTAGCTCAATTCTGTTTCTCTCTCTTTTGCCTTTTCTATTTTCTCCATGCAGACTTAAGGCCTTAGCTGGCAACAAACTGATGGGATTTTGTAGGAGTGGATCTTTCCTACAAATGTAAAGTAGATATTATGGTATGTAAATATTGGGGGGAAGCGAAGGACTGGCTAATGAAGGTCCAGTCCTCCAAGTATGCACAGGGTGAATGCTTGGAGAACCTGCTACTACTGAACAGGATGATGGCATGGAATGGAGAGGCTCAGCTCTCCATTTTAGAGCTTGCACAGGTGTTTCCAGGAGAAAGGGCTAGGGCCCCAAGAGTTCAGAGGTTCATTTGTACAGCACATGGCCATCAAGAAGGAAAAACATTCAATTCTGGCTCAGCAGCCAATAAAAAGACTTTCCATCATTACCCAGTAAGTCAACAGGAAACAGACAAAGAATGCTTCCATGTGCTCTACAGTAGCAGGCAGCGGCCACCATTCAGCTCTTCTGGCAGTGCGCTCCCCAAACATCCACCACGTGGGCTGGCACCAGGCAGAGCAGACTGGCATGATCCCTGGCATGGGCCTTTATTGGTCAGTTGTCCTGCCATCTGAATCCCATTACAATAGTGTTTCACGAGCCTGACAGACCTTAGCTATTCAGGCAGCACTCCTGATTGAATTAGGAATTCTCCTAAACCTTGATGCCATGATTCATTAGGGTGATAGTATTGGGGTATCTTTAGTTGCCTTCCACTATTACACTGCAGTATCACACTGTAGCTTTCTTGGCTTTGAGGGCAGCTTCCTCTTCACTACATCACACTTATGTCTATTATTGTTAATTTCATTATTACTATTTTTTGTGGAGGCAATCAGGGTTAAGTGACTTGACCAGGGTCACACAGATAGTAAGTGTCTGAGGCCAAATTTGAACTCAAGTCCTTCTGACTCCAGGAAAGCAGGGTGGTGCAGTGGGAAGAAGTCCAGAGATTGAATTCCAAACCCAGGTTTTGACACTTACTAGCTTTACCAGCCTGGGCCAATCACTTTACCTGATACCCATTTTTCAGACAGGGGAGTGAGAAGACTATCTACTTACACTACCTATTTCACAGGGTTGGGAGGATGGCTTTGCTAACAATACGAGAATCTGAAACAGGAATATTAGCTACTGTTCTTTATACCATGCTGGCAATGCCCACACACCTTAGTGCATGTAGAGGACTGGGCTTTAACTGTACATCAGCCCATCCTATATGAGTTAAATAGAACTTGACCCAAGAAACTAGCTCAAGCTATAGTCTACAAACTTAGTCTATTTACAGTGTTGAATTGTTTTCTTTCTTTGCATTTCCAGCCCTTGACACAGTGTCTGGCATGCAGTAAGTACTTAATAAATGCTTGCTGACTTGGCAGGGCACAGCCCCATAGAAGGTCCCCCACCCTTCCACAATGAGCCCTGGTGGTCCTTCAACAAGATGCTGCTCAATAACAAATCTTTATGCAAACAACAAAAACGTGCCCTTTAAGATGTCATATAATCTTATAAATCAACAGCTATGAAAACCTGGAATAAAGAGCCTTGTGCACAGGGTTAGGGATAGGAGGTGCTCCTGTAATTCCATTGATACTGGGAACTTCTGGGTAAGGAAGCCTTATCATGCTTTATTAAAATTCTAACAAGGCGTGAAGGTGATCTGGGGTTCTTAATAGTTCCTTACAATATATATAGTTGCTTACAATCTAGAAAGGAACCTGGTGATAGACTGACTGTATGTCTGTCATTCAAGGACTATCAGGTTAAGTTTGAGGAAAAAGAAAGGAACACACATTTATCAAGCACCTCTTATGTGCCAGGTACTGTGCTAAGCTCTTTACAAATACTATCTGTTTGATTCTCACAACAGCCCTGGGAGGTAGGTACTATTATGATCCTCATTTTATATTTGAGGAAACTGAGGTAGGCCTAGGTTAAATTGCTCAGCTATAAAGTTCCTTGGGGAAGGTTTTGAACTCAGACTGTTTTTTTTCCCCTTAGCACAGTTCCTGGTAGATAGTACGTGCTTTGTAAATTCCAGTTGACTATCTTCTCTCCAACTTTTAGCTTTATAAAGTTGCCCAGGGCACTGAGAAGTTAAGGTCTTATGTAGGGTCACAAAGCCAATATGTGGCAGGGATAGGACCCAAACTCAGGTTTTCCTGGTTTTGAGGACAGCCTTCTCTGCATATCACACTATTTTTATTATTATTATTGTTTGTAGAGGCAATCAGAGTTAAGTGACTTGCCAGGGTCATATAGCCAGTATGTATCTGAGGTCAAATTTGAATTCAGGCCTTCCTGACTTCAGAGTCGGTGCTCTATCCACTGTGCCATCTAGATTCCCTTATGCTATCTCTATTGTAAGCAAAATATACTGATATAGCTTATAAAACCAGGCAGGAACAGAGCAAGACTCACACATATGAGCTCTGAGAGAAAAAAAAAACCATAACAAAAACCACTTCTACATCTCCATTTTGGGCAAAGAGAAGAGCCACCCTGTGATAGAACGCAAAACACATTAGGCTCTTTTTTTGTTTAAGGCAGTTGGGGTTAAGTGACTTGCCCAGGGTCCCATAGCTAGTAAGTGTCAAGTGTTTGGTCTGAGGCCAGATTTGAACTCAGGTCCTTCTGACTTCAGGGCCGGTGCTCTATCCACTGTGCCACCTAGCTGCCCCTAGGCTCTTCTAAAAGGTATAACACAACACCTCTTGGGCTTGACGAACTCAAGTGTGCACATCCCTATACTAAAGAGTGCAAAGATTCATTGATAAAAAAAGACTATGGGGGCTCCTGGGTAAATATTGAGTCAGCTGTGCCCACCTAGATCCTGCTGGGGAGGAGGAAACTCCCCTTTGCCAATGCAGGTTGGCATCTTCTTGAAAATTCAAGATTTCTTAAGTTAACATTCCCCATGATTGTTATTTTCAGGTTAGTGGACTGAAAATCCTAAGTGGCAGTGACCTTCACTTGTTAATGAAGACACTCAGAAATGGGATAAATGCACGGGTATGTTTATATAGGCATTTGTTGAAGATCCCCCATTAGACAAATGAAGGTCAGAAACTGTAATTCTCCATCTTGAATCCCCGTATCCCTAGGGAAAAAACTGGCACTCCAGCGACATCACAAGCTGAAAGCAGGGCTTTGGTGTTTGAGAAATGTCATAATATGCCTTGGAAAGTTCTCTCGCATCTCTAGCAGCCTCTGGTACTTCTCACAGGCGCTCAGTAGGATTAGAGAACACAGCATTCATTGAAATTGAATTGACCTAATTAGATCATGCCATCTTACATTTATTAGGGCTTTTTACTTTTCAAAGCACTTTCCTCGTCCATTATCTCTTCGATCCTCCAGACTACCTTCATGTTCCTACAGGGGAGGAAGGTGCCCAAACGCAAATGACCTACTGGTTTATAGATATAAAAATATTTGTCTTTAAATGAGGAGGTAAGGCTTTCAACCACTGGCATGCCCCACCCCCATCTTTCCCCAAGAACTGTCTTGGGAGGGGAGATCATTTCCTTAAGGATGCCTACATTGAAGAGGTGGGGTGGTGTGGGGTGGGGAGGTGCAGGAAAGGATGATTCTGGGAGTAAAAGTTAATCAGCATAAAGAACCACGTTCCAGAGAAACTTGCTCAAAAGCGTTTTGGAAGCTCAGTGGCTATAGGGCCTCCTCGACCAGTCCTGGGCAAACAGTTGGGTAAGAAAACAGACCAGCATAACACAATGACCAGTCCTGACAAACTTATTTCATTTCCTACCTTCCTCACTACACAGGGCAGGAAGAAACCTGCCACCATCAGACAAATGGGGCAGTCATTATGTTATCTTTCCCAGCCCTGCCTCAGCCCAAAGCCCATTTTCGGCATTTGAGCTGATCAAGCGTCTTAATCGCTAGAAGTTTCCGTGGTAGAAATCTGGGCTGTGTGATTATGCCAGAAAACAGGTCAAGCTTTCGGATTAAATGCTCAGAATGTCAATTTCATGCTTATCTTGGGAGAAAGGAAGCAAAGACGCTGCCTGACAGATGGAAAATTCTATCTATCGGAGGGCTTACCCAGGGCAACCTCTAGGAGTGGGTGTGGTCCTAACTCAGGAAACAAGGAGCACAGCCCTGCTTGAGGCCAATGATTTCACAATCGGGCATCCATCAGCCCAAGAACTGGCAGGCCTATTTACTTTACTGGCAGGGAAGGCCAGTCTTCTAAAATCCAATATGCTGATTATATTGGACAGATAAATGTTACAGGACTGCCTTCTTAACTACCACATAAGAACCAAATCTAATATTCCTGGGCTTTCACAAATCTCAAGGTATTTATTTTATACTAATAAGGAAATGGATTTTTTAGGTAGCAGCCTTGCAATGCGTTTCAATAAAAGCAAGGAAGCCAGCTGAAAAATGTGTGGAATCCATAGTTAAAGAGTAGGGGGTGAGAACATGCAGAGAAGAAAAGGTCGTAACAGAATCCCTGTTGACTACTCAGTGTCAAAGTCAGAGGGGTAATTTCTTTGATTGGAAGTACCTGCTCGAACCACTCTCCCCATGAAGTAAGGGCTCCTTGCTTACCCAGAGCGGTAATGGAGACAGGTGTACTAGCCCTCCGCTCTCCAACGATCTGCCATTCCCCATCCACGGCTCGCACCCACTCGGTCACGTGGCATTCATACTGGCCTTCGTCCTCCTTTCTGCTGTTAAAGATGCCCAAGGTAAATGAGTTGGGCTGCACCTGTTCCATTTGGATGCCTCCAAAGCTGCTGCGCTCCCAATAGGAAGAGCCAGGCTGCACCGTACCATCCCTGTCAAGCCACATGATGTTATTTCGCCGATTCCGTCTGTCCAACAACTGCCAGATGACCGAGAAGCGGCCCTGGGCCCTGTCTGCTGTTCGCACGCTACAAGAAAAGTGAAGATTCTCTCCTTCCAGGATGGTGCTGGCATTACTGGTTACTTCCACCGAGATGCTGCTCTCTGAGGAGAAGGAGAGAGTAACAGGGAGGTGGCATTATATATCCACTGACCCCCTCCCCACGACAGTAAAAGACATTTCTAGCATCAAGAAAGGGGAACAAGAACAGGGAATATTCTTACTGACTTTGTTGCTGTTGTCGTTTTTAACTCATAGGTAGCTGGAGGTGTTGTGGATTAGAGCACTAGACTTGGAGTCAGGAAGATCTGAGTTCAAATCCTGCATCAGACACTTAGTAACTGTGTGACCCTGGGCAAGTCACTAACCCTCTCTTCAATTTCCTTATCTGTGAAATGGGGATGATACCTCACAAAGTTACTGTGAGAACCAATGTAAAGGCAACAAACATATGTAAAAGACTTTGCAAACCTCCAACTACTACGTAAGTACTACCTATTATTAGTAGTAGTAACAACAAACCAAAATATACCTGATTTCTTGATTATTTCTGACCTTCAATAATGAATGCCACTAGATTAGTGTTTGCTCTCTGTCTGAGAATCACAGAACCAGAGTTGGGAATGGCCTTCAAGGTCATCCAGACCAACCACCTACCTGAAACATGAATCCCTTTATGCAGACATGCTAATGGCTGCGTGGAATGGCTGCGTGGAACCCCATGAGAACAGCCCAACTTTAACTTTAGGGCCCATACTCTGCTTACCCATACAACTGAAATGAAAGGGTTTTTTTTTTCATGGTTCTTAATATTTTTAAAAATTGAAACTCCTACTGAAAATTGCTTTGGAGAAACTGACATATTCTTTATTCTACCCAGCCCCTCTGATTCCCCTTTCTTAGTCCTGCACATCAATCAAACAAAAGATGAGCTGTACATCAATACCTTGCCTTTTCCTGCTCTTTCTAGGTACAGTTAGAAAGAAGAAAAAAGGTGGGAAAATCCCTGCAGGAATTTTCTTAACACACAGTTATTTCTCAAAAACCTACAATACCAGAGGAGGGCAGCTGGACAGATAAGTCAGGGCAATTGATGGTCCAGACACTATTTACATGGAGTCTGGGAATACTCTTTGGACTTGTATTAAACAATTAGAGTTTGCCAACTGAGCTAGTTCACCTCCCACCCACCCATCCATCCACCCATCCATCCCCAATTCATATTTATTGTCTGGTTTTCTTGAATACCCTTTATTTGCTACCATTGGAAGAGGTGTTTTGAGTGGAAATCCATCCATCCAATTCAATGCAACAAATGATTATTAAGTACAAGCTACATTCAGGGCAATGAGCACCACAATGAAAAGGGCTCTCTCCCTCAAGGAGTTTATAAGGTCTGAAGCACTGAAGGAGGAACGTGCTGTGTGTCTCTAGTGCCTAGGACAGTGCACTGAATATTTAACAGGCCCTTAATAAATGCATGCTGTTGTGTCCAGGTGATTCTTTACTCCTTTTACTTTCCTTAGAGCTTTGGTTCTGTTTGTTTTCTTGTTGTTTCTTCCTAAAACGCTCAGGTGCACACCAAAAGTTTTCCAATCTACTGGACTGCAAAAATCTGAATAAAGAGACCTTAACTGTTTAGAATATAAAGTGTATTTATTAGGGCGAAGTACCACAACCACAACTGTCTCCAGCATACAGAAGAAAGAATTTTAACAAAAAAAAAGCAGATGAAATTAGATGAAAAAGATTTTTCAAACCAATCAGTTTAATCAAATTCCAAATTAGGAAGCACAGACATGATAGGCCTATACAGCTTTTATATCTGTTGTTCTCTCTGTCACTAGAAGGTCAGAAGAACCTAGGGATCATAGATTTGGAGCTAGAAGTTAGACCTCATCTCATCCAATTCCCTCATTTTACAGATGAGGAAACTGAGGCCCATTATGGTTAAGCAATATGGAAGCCCAGTCAGGATTCAAAGCCCAGGTCCTCTGACACCAAATCTAGCATTCTTTTTTTTTTCCCTTAGGCAATTGGGGTTAAGTGACTTGCCCAGGGTCACACAGCTAGTAAGTGTCAAGTGTTTGGTCTGAGGCCAGATTTGAACTCAGGCCCTCCTGACTTCAGGGCCAGTGCTCTATCCACTGCGCCACCTAGCTGCCCCAAATCTAGCATTCTTTCCACTATTCCACAGTGCCCCTTTAGTAGCTACCTTCAGGAAGTCAATTCATCAGCTCTTGCTACCATGAGTATGACTGTGGCCTATTTGGGACTTCTCAGCATAATGCCAGGGATGAAGTATAGGACACTCAATGGGAGGGAATTACGGGTCCTTTCCAAATCCCAGAAAGGGCCTTCACCCAACACTTGGATCTTGCAGAATCACAAATCGTAACAAAAGGACTCTTAAGCACCATGGTAATCTTCCAGGGTTTCAGATGCAAGTCCCTTGCTGATTAGTCAAAACAATGGACAAAAGTCAGTAACTCCAGAAACAAGGCAGGAAATCTACTTAGGTGAAAAAATAACATCCAGGTCAATAGCCATCCTGGACTCACTGTAACCCCATATATATATACACACACACACATACACACACTCACATATTTATAAATATATGTATGTATGCATTTGTAATGCATGTATATATAAATGTGTACATATACGTACTATATATACGTGTACACATACATACAGTAGGTCTACAACAACAACAAGAATAGCAATATTGGGCTAGACAAAATAAGGTGGCTTGGGAAATATGGGTAATGACAATTCTAGGTCAGTGCTTGCCTTGTCCATCAAGATTATCTATTCATGCTTCCAGACTTGGGAAAAGAGGAAACCTGCAATTAAACACTATCTAGGTGAAGTTAAAAGTGGACAAAACTAAGAATAATATCATAGAGAGTTAACAGGGATCTTCAAGGCAAGAGCTGATGATGCAGCAGAAGTTATTAGGAAAAGCCCTAGATTGGGTGTGGGAAACACACAATCTTAGTATTATTAAGTGAACAATGTTGGTTAACACCTCACTTTTCTGTGCTTTAGCTACTCTATTCATAGAAAATAGCATACCTTCCCCTAACCTAGTCTAGAGAGATTTTTTTTTTTTTAACAGAAACCTGGAAAGAAAAAAGGCAAATCTGGGCTCTTTCGAAGAAAAGCGCCATTAGAATTCAAGGCATAATCATCATCACCATAATTGTTGTGGTCATTTTTGTTCTCTGGTAGACTTACCCAAGTGGCCTTGGGGCAGCATCTGATGGTGCTGGGGGACTTTTACTACCCAGATATCTGCTGGAAAAGCAATATAGCAGGCCACAGATCATCAAACAAGTTCTTAAAAGAGATCGGGGGAAATTTCTTAGGGTAAAGGAAGATACTGAGTATGGTGGCTGTCCATTGATCTTTATCAAACAACAAGTAATTAGTTTGTGGATGAAAAGCCAGATCAAGTCCTTGGATAAAGCCAGGACAGAATGATAGAGAATTAGCAAGACAGGGCAAGGTAAAGAAGTGGGAGCTAGTAGAAGAGAGGAGTCCACGGAAGAAGGAAAAAAAAAGAATTCCAAGGAAATTGGATGTTTTTTAAACAAGGACAAGAGAGAAAATTATTCTGGTATATAAGAACAAGAGGATCAGAAGACCTCTATCTTTACCCCATGCCTGGTTCTAGTCTCCATATTTTAAAGGGAATAGTAAAGAACTAGAAATGGTTAAGAAGGAAAAGAACAATGAAAATAGTAAGGCTAAAATATGAAGAGAAAATGAGGAAAGACGAAAGAAGCTCAGTTAGAGAGAGTTTAGGAAAGATCGACAACCATCTTTTTTCTTTTCTTTTTCTTTTTTTTAAAAGAACACTGAAATGCTTAATTTCCATGAAACATAGAACTAATGGGAAATAGATAAAAAAACCATAAGCACTTTAAGTCAGATAGCTGGATAGGCTCGTCTGGAGACGGTGGGCTCAACTAAATGACCTTTCCTGAGTACGGAAAACAAAGTTTTATGATTATTTCATTCTTTGATTTTTCTATTTAATTTTAACATAGGAAGGAGATTTAGGCAAATGCCAACTTCTGAATTCTATGAAGTCTTGACCTCAAGCATCATTCTTCTAAATGAGATGTTAAGCTGAGATTTAAAATCCTTCCACAAAAAGTTAAAACTCTAAGAGAGACTCACAGTTCACCCACTTCTTGGGGGCTTAGCTGCCCTAGGGTAGGCAAATAGTTTTCCTAGATCCCAGATACTCTCTATACCTTGGGAGTGCTGCATTGTCCATGAGAGGCAATATAGATTAGAGCACTAGATTTGGACTCAGGAGACCCTCAAACAATAAGCCGCTGTGTGATGTTGGACAAATCACTTAACATTCTTGTGCCTCAGTTTCCTCATCTGCAGAACGGAAGATCTCATAGCTTATAACATTCTTTCCAGCTCTAAATCTATGATCTTATGTGTAGATGTTGCGGCCTGAATGTGTCCTTGCACAATCCCAGGCTTGGTAGGTCTCAAGTCCCTCCTCTGAAGGTCTGCCTACCTAAAGAGGTACAGTGAGTACTGAAAGAGAGGAGCTATAGAAGGAAGGGAGGTTAAGTATTTTGTTTTTCCCCAGTAGAGTGGTTACCAAGGCTGAGTGCCACCCACTCCCATCTGTCACCCTCCAGTTTCCCTTCATCGAGGATACCATTTGGCAAACCAGAAAACAATGGGAAAGAGCAGGGAGGGGGAAGGGAGAAGCATAGTTCTCTACTTACTGAGTGGAAGGACAATGATGGGAATGTTCTTGGGGCGCTTGCTTTCTTTGTCGATGAACTCGCCAGTCACTGTTTTCTCTCGCTCTGTCACCCTGCAGTTGTATTTACCGCTGTCTTCCTGGCGGAGGTGGTAGATCTTCAGCACAAAGACGCTGTCGCTCTCTTTGGACACCTTGAGCTGGCCCCGGCTTTCCCGCTGAGCAAATTCACTGTTAAGCACGGGCACAGCATTGGGCCCCAGGCTGGCGATGAGGGAGCTGTTGAAAGCCCAGGAGACGGCAAAGTAGCGGTCAGGAACATTCTGAGCCTCAAGGATGCAGCGGAACTCTACTGGCTCACCGACCGTGTACAGCCGTCTGTCTGTCTCCAGTCGAACACTGAACTCTTTGTCTGAGAAAGGAATGGAACAGAAAGGGGAAAAGAAGAGATGGGGGGGTCACTGATGCCAAAAGATACATATCATTCAACCTGCTTCAGAGGAATATAGGTTCCTAACTAGTCAAAGTATGTCAATAAATCACTTGATAGAGTTGACCTAGATAATAGCAACACAACTGTGACCATGAAAGATGGGACCCAGATTACTGGAGAACCAAGTGACACCTAGAAGTCAGAGAAATTTCAAGACTGACCCAAGAGCCTGGATTCATTAATTCTAAGAATATAAGCTCCTTGAAGGCAAAAACTGACTTCAGATTTGAATTTGTACCCCCAGCACACAGCAAAACTTTTTGCACATAGTAAACACTTAATAAATTTTCTCCCTTTCTTTCTCTTTGTCTCTACCTCTCTCCTCTTTCTTCCCTCCCTTCTGCTCCCGCTCTTCCCCTTTCCCTCTCTATCTCCCTTTTCTGTCTTCCTCTCTATCTCTATTCCTTCCCTTCTCTCTCATATGTTGGATTGATAGTATCTAAGACCTGAGACTATAGATCCAAACTCCAGGTCAGCCCTAGAATTGACCAGCATCATTCTGAAACAGTTACTCTCTCAAACCTATGCATGACCCATATCCAAGAGAAAAATAAGGACACTGTAGAAATTCCAGAACGGGAAAAGAAATTTCAGAAATCCTTTCTATCCCACCTCATCAGCTGGTCAGGTTTATGAAGCATAAACACTCCAGCTACCCCCTTTACTCATAAATATTCAAAGATGAACAGAATGAGACTTTGCTCTATTCTTCCTCATATCGATCAGTCAACAAGCATTTATTAATTGTTTGCTCTATACTAGGCAGCTAGGTAGTTCAGTGGATAGAGCACTGGGTCTGGAGTCAGAAAGATCTAAGTTCAAATCCAGCCTAAGATACTGAGCTACATGACCCTGGGCAAGTCACTTAACCCTGACTGCCTGTTTTCTCCTCTGTAAAAGAAGCTGGAGAAGGAAATGGCAAACTACTCTAGCATCTTTGTCAAGAACACTCCAAATGGGGTCATAAAGAGTTGGACACAACTGAAAACGACTGAACAGCAGCAACAACCATGTATGCCAAGTTCTAGAGATACAAAGAAAGGCAAAAATGAGCTCTGCTCCCAAAGAATTTACATTCTAATGGGGAAGACAACATGTGAATAAATAGGTATGTATATATGTATGTATGTATAATACACACACACACACACACACACACACACACACACACACACACACACA